AAAGTAATCTCCAACTCTCAGACACCTTTTGGTGCACAGCCCCCTGCAGTGGTGCTGAGAAGCCCTGCAGCCCCCCCCAGCCACCTCTCCCTGCCCAAGGACAAGTGAACCCCTGTGTCACACACCAGAGCCCCCCGCAGACCCCATGGACTGGGGAGGAGGATGGAAACAGGCCAGCCGGGAGGGCACGGTGACCCTCCCCTCCCACTCGCTTGCCCCAGCCCAGGGACACCCGCTAAGCCTGGGGGATATCGGCTACCGGCTGCTTTCTGTCGGGGATGCAGCGCACGCCACTGGCCGCACTCCCCCGCCAGCTTGGGGGGTGTCTCCTGCAAAAGACAGGAGATGGAGATGAGCAAACCCCAGCCCACCATGGCAGGACCCCCATGGCCTCAGGAAGGGAGCGTTTCCCCCAGCGTGGCACAAAGGTGGCTTCAACTCCAGCGAGGTGAAGGGGGAAAACATCTCTGGGTAGAGGGGGCTGCCCCAGAGCCCTCCTCCAGCACAGCTCTGCCTTTCAGCTCTCCCCACACTCAGCCCCAAACCCTTTACTCTCCCTCCAAGGTCTCGTACCAAGCTTTTTCTTGACTTTTTTTTTTCCTCAGATTTTTTTTTTTTACTCCATTCAATATTTTTTCAACTAAACCAGCTCCCTGACTCTCCCACTCTGGCTCTCTGCTGAGTTGCAGCACCAGGACAAGGGGGACTGAACCCCCTTCCCCAGCCTCCACCCAACCCCTCTCCATCACCCCGCTTCCAAAAAGGCTCAGCAAGACCAAAACTCCAGCTTTGCTACACGCTCTCCCAGGCTTTAGGCACAGATTGGAAAATCCCAGTGCAAGAGGTAGCATCTCCCTGGAGTCCGGTCCTGGACAGCAGAGAGGGGCATGACCCAGACCGGGCAAGGCCCAGCTTTCCCTGGGGAAGCACCCACCTCGCCGCACCCCACAGGGCCAGAGGAGACCCCCGTGCTTCCCACAGCACAGGGCAAACCCAAACCCCATCGCCGCACCAGCAGAAAATGCTGCTGGAGCGCAGAGCTGGCCCAGCACCTCCCAGGCTGCGATCCCCCCACACCATCCCCACCTCTTTCCCCCCCCTCCTGCGGCCTTTCTTCTCCCCCAAAGCCCCCCTCCGGCTCACAGCCACAGTTTCCCCTCGCTGCTCCAGCAAACCCCACGGCCCCTCTCGGAGCGCCCCAAGGGGCCAGCTGGGATGCGGGGCACGTAGAAAGGCGGTGGGGGAGAGCGGGAGTAGGCACCCACCACATTCAGCACCCGACAACAGACCAGCATCACTTCCTGCATCCCCTCTCGGGAGGAAAACCTTGTCCCACCCTCGCGCCGCTGCACCCCAACACCCAGAGGGACCCCGACACCCAGAGAGACCCTGACCCGCAGTGTTCACAGCCAGGCAGCCACAGGGCTGACAACCCCACACCACCACCCCCCCGCCCAAGGCTGCTGGTCCCGAAAAAGGAAGGACTAAGCCCTCCTTAACACAAGGATAATTGCGGGGACACGGGGCAGCCGCCGGCGGTTACTTCTGTAACTTGTGGCTTTTCCATTAAGCACGACCCTGCAGCAGAGAAAAGAAAACAAGCGGCGCAGCCTCCCCATAACCCCTCCTTTGAGGCGATGCACAAGCAGCCTCATTTCCTGCTTCTCTTTATTAGCATTATCCCGATTCCACTGTAAGGCCCCAAAATTTGCAGGATCATGCTGCTGCTTCGGTCGGAAACTTTGGGTTTGCCAGCTGAGAGGCTTCACTGGCCTCCAGAACTGCCCTGACCCGCTCGGGAAAGCCATTTCTTGCCTAAATACACACTAACTCTCATTTCTTTTATTTTTTTAGGACAAAAACCGCTAGGCGAGTTCAGTCCGACCAGAAATGTTACAGCTCAAGTTTCAGCCAGCACATATTTCGTGCAGTTTTATGCCCCCCCGAGCAGCCCAATAAGGTCTGCAAGGGTAAAGCCAGGAGCAATTAAGCACAAAACCAAATCGTAGGGCGAGGGCTAGCACCTGCCCCTCCGGATTAGCCACCCCGGATGGCATCCCCGGGCATCAGCCGAGGGATGGGGGAGGAAGGATTTTTTTCGGATAGAGAAGCACGGGCTGAAAAAGTGTTGAGAAAGGATGGGAGGGTTTGGTTGGCCCTTCCAGGCAGCGACGAGTGGCTATAAATGGCCTTCTTTGTCATCGCAGCCAGAGCGGCGGTGGAAAAACGAGGACGGAGCCGCTCAAGGCGGGGATGGGGATGGGGG